ATTTCAATGGTAATGTTTTTTTAAGAGTCCATATGTATAGCTAAAGGCTACATAACAAGCAACAATGCCAGACAGGAGATACCTTCTTTTGAATTGTTGTCCAGGGTGGCCAAAGGGACTCCCAGACAGTAACCCAGCATAGAACTTGGAAAATGAACAGCAGACCCCAATCTTATCTAAAGGAATATTGACAACTGGTAGATGAGGAACAAAGACCTCTACGTAGGCTGACTAGATTCACCAGGGGAATGGCTGGGGTGCTGACAACACAGCAGACAGTAGCAGGGATATCAGAGTATAAGGGCTCTAGTGGGGGGAGGGAGGCTATGGGAGGGAGCCATCTGAGTAGTGGGTACATAGTCAAATAAGATGGTTTGGGATGTTCTGTGTGATATACACACAGACACAAAAAAAAATCAACAAATTTTTAGAAAAATATTATATTTGAGGAGGTAGCATGGAAATTTACATCATGCTAATTAGTAGAGGTGATAAACAATACCACTGAAATCTGCCCAATTACTTTATAGACATAAGGCACCAAGGATCCGAGTGCAACCAACTAGAGACTTGCACCCACTTAAAGAGATGTACTCTTTCTCTGGAGTATGTTACTGAATATGTTAAAGCTTTAGTGAAATGTTTCTTCTAATCATGTAGTTTTTAAAAATTTAAAAAATAATAATAATTCTTCAAAGCATACAAATTTGCTCCTTAATAATTAGTAGGTGTGAAAAACATTACCATTGAAATCTATCTGATGACTTTATATCCATGCTCGGATGCCAAGGAGCCCAGAAATAATTGACTATGACTAGTAATAATCAGATATATAGAGATTAGAAATGCATGTTGAAACATCTTAATGTCAGTTGCATTAAAAATGAATTTTTCTGTATGAAGCTGTGTATTTTAATAATGAAATGGAGATCATTTTAAAGATTAAAACCTCATTTAATTTTATGTCTTATAGGGTTTATACTGAGTACAATATTGTATAACTGTAATAATTCAACTGTAAACCTAAAAATTTACAGCCAATTTTGAAAGAGATGCATCTTAGCTCAGGAAATTGTTATTGAATATGTCAATGCTGTTGTAATGAAATGCTTCTTCTAAGTATGTGGTTAATAAATAAATAATTTTTTAAAAAAAAGATAAGGGTGGATCCAAGCTTGTAGTTCCCCAATTGATGAGGGAGAAATGAAAAATGATCTTGAATAAAAGTATGAGCGAGGCTTGGTTCAGAAACACAGCTCCCTGAGAGAGCTGAGGGAACAAACTCTCAGGGTTAAAATTTAACGCAAAGAGTCAGGCTGATTATTTATTCAGGTACAACCTTAATGTGGCTTACTAATGCTGCACATATACATGGTTTTGGTATTTATTTTACTTAGCACATCATATTAAATACCCTTTGATTATGTGATTGTAAGAAATTATACAGTATTCATCATAAAGATATAAAGACATATATGACTGTAGAAAAATGTTGAAGCATAAGTTAAGTGATTAAGTAATGGCCTAAAACACAGCTCCTGAAATACTGGAGACATTTGTGTCCCATGATCCACCCTGGAGTTCAGGCACAAGCTGTGTAAAGCCAGTGTGGGGACTGTTCTGTCAGGAACCATGCTGCCAACTCCAGGATACCTAGTAACTCCACCATCACATGCATGGTTCAGAACGAGTGGCCATGACATGGACGGTCCAGCCCATGGGCAAAAAACAAAACAAAACCAAAAAGAATGGGAATATGGGAAAGGGAGGACACGACTGTGCCAGAGGCACATCTAGAAATTACAGACTCTACTTCTACTTGGGGAAGTTCGTCATGTGCCAGTACAGCACCAACTTATAAGAAGCTAGAAAATACAACTGTCAACATTGTGGTCAGCTGACAATTTCATTATTATGGAAAAAAAAGAAAATACACCGAGGAACCCATGAAGGGCTCGGCCACTCCTTTAGAGCACTTACGGCATAGTGTTCATTAATCACTTTCAGTATTGCTTTTATCTGTTAATTTTAAGATTCCAGCATTAATGAACACGTCTAGATTTCATAACTATGACACACTGGTTTGGGTAACATTTACTGAATATTGCAGTGACTACTGTATTGGGTAGAACAGGAAAACTCGAGTCATTTGTAAATTTTGAAGATTATATTTATTTTTGAGATGTAAATATTACATAAGGAATTATAAATATCACATAAGCAATTTATTTTTAACTAAATAAATATAAATAATTAATGCTCAAATCCCATTTCAAAATTCGCCAACATCCCATCATCAGAGTCATGTTCCTCTGGAGCCTCAGCCCCTGCTATTGTGGCTCCTGGAAACAGCATTCTCCTGCATGAGGGTGATGTGCAAAAAGCAATGAAATAAATCCCCCTTAGCCAAGTGCTCCCCCACCAGTCCAAGGCTCCGCTTGGCTTTGCCCTGAATTCCACATCACATGTCATGGTGCAGTATGTTGAGAAACTCCCTCAGGTAGTGCTAACCTCACTACTGGTATGGAACTGGTTTTTCATCCTAAAGCTATCTAGATATTAGGATTCCTTGATTTTAAACCATTTTAGATGTGGCTTATTTACTACCAATCACTTCCCTTGATCTATCGATCTGACTGACCCTTTCCGCCTTTCTACATCAAGCCTAGAAATTCAATGCTATGGTTTCTTGATTGTAATAGCGCAACAAATGTTAGGACCCTCTGTCGTTATGTCCTGCAACGCATACCTATTTCTCTTCACCTTTCTCTTTATTTCTCTGAACCTTCTCTCTCCTTTTCTCTTTGTGCTACCTTCCTACACATTAAGCCAATCTACAGGCTCTCAGTGACTACTCACATCTTACTCAGGGTTCCTTAAACCCCCAAATTTGTGCTAATCATGTACATCACAATGTGGCTTTAACTCTGAGGAGCCTCCCATTCTACGTCAGCAGCTGATGGACCGATATGGTTTCCATCATCCAGGAATGCAATGGCATGCAAAATACACAAATAATGCTTCCAACAAGTTTCTTAAAGAAACATTGGCCAAAAGATGCAGCATAGCCCAAAACACAAGCTCTTAAAGGTCTAGGGTACCAGATGTAGGATCACAACATAAATTCCTTAGACAACTGGGGAACTGATACCAGGAAATCTTTCTCCCAAACCTTGAAGTAAAGCAGTCATTGCTTACTGATGGAATTCCACTATTTGTAGAAACGAAGAATCTTCTTTGCTTTTGTTTTCAGCTTAGAATGTGTGAAAATGATGAGGACAGAGTGTCCTGGAGGGTACGCAGCAGTAATAATCACACAAACAGCATAGGCTCTCAAATCCTTCCCAGAAGAAGGGAGGTAGAACAGGGTAGCGACTGAATAGGGAATGTAGAGCAGGAGGAAACAGGTCATCAGCTTCACAGCACCCAAATGTGCTTCAGTCTGGGGATTCCAAAAGCCAGTAGAGTTTCTCTGCATCCTCTGTATATGTCTTCTCAAGGAATGTATTAACACTGAAGCAAAAGTCACATTGAGTACAAACTGGAATAATGAGCTCAAGGCCAGGGAGGCTGCTAAGATCAAGATGCCCTCACTGAAGTCAAATACTGTGTCATTTCTCCCAGTCATGTGTTCAGGAAAACGTGATACCTGACTGAGCACAAGATACAGGAGAGTAGTGAAGGCAGAAATCAGCAGACAGGCCAGCAGCATTCTCGTGGTCTTTGCAGAAATATTCCGTTTCAACAGGAGAAACATTGGGTGTTGGAAGTTGGTAATCTTCACGCAATACAAGCTGTTGAGCAAGGTCACTAACCAGAGACTGTTAGAGTCCAAAAACTTCCAACAAAATACAAAAGCCATGGAAAAGTAGACTGACTTCTTACCATTTGAAGACAAGTAGACAGTTTTCAGTAGAAACAATACCAGAGTAAGAAATCTGGTGACACCCAAGCTGAACAGAATCCTATCTGAAGAGGAGAGTCTACGACTTCTAACCCAAGTCTTGTAAATGACCACTATAATAAACAGACTCACAATGAGTCCAACAAAATTAAACACAACTGAGGCAGCAAAAACAAATAAATTCAGCTCCTGGAACATCTTTACTCATTGAGGATCCAGCCCAAGTTGTGGTGCTGATGAAGAAAACTGAAAGATTTAAGTAGGTGCCAGTATCCCTCCTGGAGGGATGTCTCCTTTTTAATTTTTCCAGCATAGCAAATGAGTCAATTGTGGTCTAATAGGCAGCTACTTTTACTGAGATGCAAATTCTCCAAGGATTACATTGCTATTTTTTCATTGCAATTCTTTTTTTTCTTAGAAGTGCCTAATTACAAACCTCAGTGAACCTGGGAGTCCAGTTCCCCAAGAGCAGGAAGCCTAAAGGAAGTCAAGGCAGGCTCCGAGAACTTCAAATCCAAACCAGAGTGCTCTAGTCTAAGAGCTTCTTTTTCACAGCAGTTTTACTTCACAGAAACCAGGGAATACTGTGGGAATTCTCATGCCTTCTCCTCCCACCTGCCCTCCCTGTGCTTATCCATGGACTACTTACACCAGCTTCTGTGGCCCCTACATGCTGAGGCTGCAGCCATTTTCTCCAGTCGTCATCCTGACAATGCCACTGCCAAACCTTTGCACGTTGGCACTTACGTGATTTACTGAATCAAATGCATTAAGTTCAAGGAACTGTCCCCTCCTCAGACATCCCTTCATGATAATTACTTTGCATTCCACTATTAGCTCCATATAGATGCATACAAATTTGTGACACAATCACTCGTGTTCTGGGGCTTGTCTAGGAAAAAAATCAGCCCTTTCATGTGTTACCTTTTTAGATCACCTGTAGTTATAATATGTCCCCTTAGGCATTAAAATACTCTGACACAAAATACAGGGTGATTATTTAGTCATATTAGTAGTAGAAATCCACATTCAGGAATGCCATGTGTCCTAGCTCACTATACTCACAAAGTTTAAGCATTTTTCATGATACTAAACAATATTCTCACTAACTTCTCAAAACTACCCAATGACACACGTAAATCAATGAGTATGTATTTCTGTTTAAACATAGATTGGATTAATCAAACATATTGGTTCATCATCAAACTACCTATATAATAAGACATAAATTTAAAAACAGATACAAACCTTGAAAAGAGCAAGGGAGGAGAAAAAGGAAAGAGAGAGAGAGAGAGAGAGAGAGAGAGAGAGAGAAGGAAGGAGGAGAGGAAAGAGGGGGAGGAAAGGAGGATAACATGACTGGTGTTCTGCACAGTCTGAAACATAAAAATTACTTGGAATTCACTTTAGTAAAATGCTAATGAAATGCAAGAATGGCCTGGAACATGGAGTCCAAAGGGCTTGATTTCCTGCCACTGCTTACATCATCACACAACGGGCTCATGGAAACTGCCATCTTACCAGGATTACTGTTGCATAACTCAATGCACAATGATAGTTTTCACTTAATTCAGAATTTTACACAACACACTGTTGTGTAACCTGGCCCCACTTTCCATTCTCTGTCTGCTTCCTGTGCAGTGATGGCCTAGCCTCCTGCTCCTGCTGTCATGCCTTAGGCACAATGATAGCTTTCACTTAATTCAGAACTTTACACAACACACTGTGCTTAAATGTTGGCACACCCTGTCCTATGAGTTTCCACTACCCTGCAGCTAATGTTATCATCCACATTTTAGGAAGAGGGACAAATGACTAAGGTAACCCACCCAAAGTCAAAAACTAGAAAGTTGACAGAGTCAGACATCAGGCCCACATCATTTTACTTCTATCAGCATCAAATTTAAGATAACACTAATATGCAGATTGGTAACAGATAATGATTATTAAAATACAGCTCTATGTCTATATCATGAGTATTTTTACATTGACATTTCCCAGAGACTGTTTCACCTGTCTGAAACAGTCCTATGGAGGGAGGCCATAAGAAATGTGGCTTTCTCCAGAACCAAGTAGGACCAGGGGCAAAGCAGGCAGTGTCTCTCCCACTGATGGTACAGGCTGGTACTATACGAGAGTCAAGCTCTGTGGTCCTGGATCAGGCTGAAGGATTCCCAGGCCCCACTCTATGCCCTGCTCGTCTATGAAGCAAAGGGCCTCTTAGACAGAAGCTTCACATGACCACATTCACATGGGAACATCACCACAAATGTCTGCTTCAGCTTGTTGTTACTCAGAATGAGAATAAGAGAGTGGCCAGAAGGATAAAACATTGTAACGATGACACTAATCATTCTGGCTGTCTTGGTTGCTGGGAGGAAACGACTGAATGACAAAATGAGAAAGGAAAAAAAGTACAGTAGGAAGAGGAAGAGGAAGGAGAGGATGATTCTGATGGCTTTCTTGTGGGCCTCGGTGCTTTGGTCTCGGGAGCTGGTCCTATGCGGCTGCATCTGCTGTGTGTGCCTCCCCAGAGAGAGGAGAAGCAGAAGGTAAGAGACCAGAGACACAATTAAGGGAGGGAGCATCCACAGATTCCCAAGAACGTGCATCATATTATACGTGTTTCTCTTCCTTCTGAAGTATTCAGTTATGTTCTGTGTGCCTTCGATTCCACTGAGGATGGAATAGATCTTAAATTCATTGATCAGAGATAGAGTACAGATGCAGGATAAGAACAGCGCACCCCACAGCATCCATGTAACAATGCTGGAAACTCTCCACTTGAGCCAGAGGAATGTGGGGTGGGAGAAACGGGCAATTTTCAGGCAGTAGAAAACACCAAGACAGGTGATGAGCCAAATACTTAGGTGGTTTGTAAACGTCCAGAAAACATCAATAATTTGCATTCCTGTCCCCGAATCATGCGTGTCATAAGAGAATATTATTATGATGCCATCAACAGAGATGATCCATAGCACAATGATCCTAGAGAGGGCCAGGCTGGTGATGATGCAGTCAGACAAAGAGAGTCTCTTGCTTTTGAACCAGCTGCTGCTATTGACCCATCCAATGAAACCATTCACCAGATTTCCAAGGATGAACTCGGTGATAATCAAAACCATGAACACTCCCTCTGCAAGTCCGAACATATCAGAAACTAGGCAACTCTGAGCTTTGATCGCCTGCCAATCTCAAACTTTTCTGCAATCTACCTCCTCCTCCTGTTATTTCACTGCACCTTGCTCTTCTGCCCTAGTCTGCCATACAGCACAACTTGGCTCTGGCTCTACCACGCTTCTCTGTCCTCTTCAGATGCCACAGACTGTCACTTCCACCTATGATCTTAAATTCAGCAGCTCTTTGCCAAAATGCAAATAGTGTCCAATGTCATAAGGAAAAGGAGGACATCTGGGTCACAAAGAACATGGAGGACTGGGACTCAGTTTCAGAGGGAGTATTGTGGTTTGAATGTGAAATGTCCCCCCCGATAGGTTCATGTCTTTGAACACTAGGTCTCCAGCTGGTGGCGCTATTTCAGAAGGTTTTGGAACCTTGAAGGAGGAGGTATATCACTGGGAATAGGTTTTGAGGTTTGTGTGGTTTGAATGTGAAATGTCTCTCTGTCTGCTTCCTGTGCAGTGATGGCCTAGCCTCCTGCTCCTGCTGTCATGCCTTCCCTGCCATGCCAGACTGCATCCCCTCTGGAACTATAAGCCAAAATGAACACTTTCTGCCTTAAGTTACTTTTATCAGGACATTTATCACAGCAACAAAAAAGAACTACAAAAAAATAGGGCTGAGAATCACAGAATAAAAAAGATATGGGGCTGGAGAGATGGCTCAGCAGTTAAGAGTACTGACTGCTGTTGCAGAGGACCCGGGTTCAATTCCCAGCACCCACATGGTGGCTACAAATCCAACAGTCTTTAACTCCAATTCTAGGGGAATCCGAAGCTCTCTTCTGACCACCCCAGCATTGCATGGCACGGGTGCACTCACATACATGCAGGCAATACACTCACACACATAAAATAAAAATATTTTTTTAAAGGTAAGTAGCACTGACAGGAGGCACAGAACCACCAAAAAGGTGAGAGGTCTTGTTTCTCTGGGGGGAGGACACACAGAAACAGGGAAATCCCAGAATCCCACCACGAGGCACTATCCGTCACACTGGAGAAAGGTTTAAGTGCATAAAGTCCAGTGCTACTGGTCCTGAATTGCAACTAACGTTTTAAAATTCCATTCCCCAATTCAGGAAAACATGGAGTTTTGAATTTTGCAAATAAGTCTAAATAGTCAATTTATTTTTGCATAAGGTGTAAAGATTTAGTTGTGTTTGTTAGGTTTTTGGGTTTCTTTTGTCCCCTATCTGGGTAACAAACTGTCCTGGCATCATTTGTTGAATAGTTCACATTATTTTAAATATTTTTAAAATAGCTCATCTGTTATTTTTATGTGCATGTATGTAAGTGCACTGCCTATGTGTTGTGCAATGCCTACGAAGGTCAGAAGTGGGTCCCATGGAACTGGAGTTAGAACAGTGGTTAGCTGCCATATAGATGCTTGGATTTGAACCCAGGTCCCCTGCAAGAGCAGCCAATGCTCTTAAACACTGAGCCAGCTCTATAACCCCGAATAATTTATATTTTATGCAAAAATCTATGCCACTTTCTCCTTGTTTCCAAATAAGCATGATCAATTGCTGTACTCTATTCTGTGTCACTGCTCTCTATCTACATCAGTGGTATACTTTCTCAAAGTAACTTTAAGACAATGAAAGAACCAAAGCCTTAACTAGCAAAGTAAGTCACCCCAACCCCACCCCACCCCTTACCCAGCCACACTTAGGAGTATATATTTTTTGGTCTTTTTCAAACAGGGACTCCCTGTGGTAGGACTGACCTGGAACTCACTATGTAGACCAGCCTGGCCTTGAACTGAGAGATCCACCTGCCTCTGCCCCCAGAGTGCTGGGATTAAAGGTGTGTGCTACCACACCCAACAGGAACATGTATTTGTGGACATTTGTTTATCAATACATATTTATAATCAGCTTGTTGTGTCTCCCCATAGGACTTCTGGGAATTTATTTAAATACCCTTCCATCTATAACATCAGTGGTTAGGGGAGTAGAGTTCTTTGTTAACACTGATGTTTCTGAGACACATAATGTACTAGCTCTCTTTTAAATGTTTCAATAAGGTTTTATAGTGGTCCTCAGAGGCCACACACTGAAGACTTTTGTTTTCTGATGTTCTCACAGGGCATCTTTTAAAAATTCTTTGATCTTGTTTATAACTGACAGTTGGGGACTACTTCATTTCCTGTAACTTAATTTATACATTTGTTTTCAAAGTAATCACAGAATTTGTGAATCACTTTCTCTTTCCTATCTCAACACTATTCTGTTCATAAAAGCACTTGCTAGAGCTCCAAACAAGTAGGTTGTTAAAGAACTCTCATGTCATTTCTATTTTAAAGGAAATTTCAAAGAATGTTTGACAGGCACCTTTAGCATATAACAATGCCAAGATTAGCACACCATCAAAGAATGTTTCAATTCCTATTTTAAAATTGTTAAATTGAGTTTCTTTTCTTCCTACAAGCCCAAAGCTGTAAACTGTATGATGTCCCTGCCCCCATATGCCCCATATAACATCTGCCCCAGGAAAGTATTTGTAGATAAAGCCTTTACGGAGGAAATAAAGGTTATGTGAGATCAAAGGGTGGGGCTCGGCTAGTGCCAAGCACACACAGATCACATGAGCATAAGTGAGACAGCACCCACCTACAGGTCAGCAGATGATTGTCCAGAAGTGGGTCACGCTGGCACCCTGACCTCAGCTTTGCAGCCTCTACAGCTGGAAAATGTCTGTTCTTTAAGCTACTTGTCTATATGCTGTTCTGGTGGCCTGAGCAGAATAAGATTCCTAAATGCAGTAAGAACTTCTCTGCACGTAGAGAACCCTCCCAAGATTTTCTAATCTGCCGTCTGCCAGGGAAGTGAAGGTCAGTTTTGATTTTTTGAGACAGGGTCTCAAGGCCCAATAGGCCTAGAATTTATTATGTAGACCAGGCTGGCCTCAATTTCAGACATCTGCCTGCCTGTCTCCAGAGTGGTGGGATTAAAGGCATGCCCACCACGTCCAGCCAGGACAGTACTTTCATCCATAATCTACCTGTTTCTTTAGTCAATGAAAGGCTAGTGTCCTCACTAGGGCTAAAATAAAACTAAATAGTATTTGTTTCACACAAAAAAAGTTCTGTTTAGTCGTTAAAGACCATTGCTAAGGTTCTGTGTATTTTTAGTGGCCCAGTCCCTTCCCCAAATTTATCATGACATAAATTAAAAACTGAAGAGACCATGGGATTAGTGATGAGATTTATTCACTTCTACTTGCAGTATAAGGAAATCCAGAAAGGAGCAAACATATAAGGAGATAAAGGTAAGTTGCACACAAATACAAGGAAGTTTATTTGCATCTTCTGAAGATGTTCAGAGGTAGGCTGTCCGGGACGCTATGGTGGTTTGGGTCATCTTGGATGACAGCTTCTTCCATCTTCCATCCTGAAGACCATACTTCCTGCTCTGGCTGGCTCCTGGAGATTTAGCCCCATGTCCCCATTACAGTAAAGAGGAGGATGAGTCTGGAGAAATACAAAGAACGTACCTCCAAAGAGCTCACACAAGAACTTTCCTGGACCCAGATGACTCTCAGCAATCCATAACCACAAAAAGGAATGTACTGTCTGAGCAGTGTACATTGCCCCCCAATAAATACCAATTCTAAATACAGAAGACAATGGATACAGGCCAGTTCATTACTCATGTTTATGCTCAGTTTCTAGGTAGCTTTGCTATCGTAAGGCCGTATGTACTCAGAGAAGAGCTGTGCCTTCCAGGGTTAATTCCTATGTCCTTTGCATGGCCTAATTAGACTTTCTAGCAGATATTCACCCATCAAGTCCTCTCCACATCCAGAAAGCAGGTGTCACTATCTACTACACATCTGCCAAGGGGGGAGCACTGAATAATCAGACTGCTTTCTCTCTTACCAGTACCTACTGTGTCAACACCAGGTCCCGGGAGAGGAGCCATGTATTTTTCTTGATTACTTCTTCGTGTTGGGATATGTATGTGCATGTGTGTGGTGTGATCATGTTGATAGGTAGAGGCCAGAGGTCAACATCAGTTGTGTTTTTCTTCCATTCTCTACCTTATTTTTTTTTGAGACAAGGTCTTTCACTGAACCTGGAGCTCAGCAATTGGCTAGACCAGCCAGCAAACCCCCAAGATCCTCCTGTCTCTGCCTCCCTGCACCAGAACCACAGGTATGTACAGCTGAGCCTGGATTTTTATATTGGTTCTGGAGTTCTGACATTCTTAATCCTGATTCTCATGCTTTCAGAGCAAGCACTTTATACACGAAGCCATCTCTCCAGCCTTTTCTTGAGTACTTCTAAGATACAGCTAAAAGGATCTGGCAGAAAACTGGAACACAGTATTAGCAAATCCATCAGACTCCAAATGCCCAAGTCACCCCTCATCCCTGCTCTACCAATCCTTCCAGGAATACTGAAGGAGCTTCTTTTAAGAAAAAAAATTAATGTTATTATTTTTAATTTTATACTGTTTATTTTATGTGTATGAATGTTTTGCCTGCAAGTATGTAAGTGCACAATGTATGTGCAATGCCTGCAGAAGCCTGAAGAGGGCATCAGATCCCCTGTAACTGGAGTTAAGGATGACTATTAACTGCCATGTGGGTGCTGGGAAGAGATGGCTTCGTGTATAAAGTGCTTGCTCTGAAAGCACAAGAATCAGAATTAAGGGTCCTCCACAAGAGCAGCCAGTGTTCTAACTGTTGAGCCATCTCTCCAGCCCTGTTGTGCTCTTTCTAAAGCATCCGTCCAATCTGTTCCAGTTTTCAAACCCCCAAGGGCTTCCACGTCGCTGCCATTCTCCTCTGCAAGCTTCTGAAGCTCTCTACGGTCTAGCTGAAAGCCACTTTTCTTGACCTCCCTTCACTGCTCAAAACTTTTGATGCCGCGTCCTCTGGTAAAGATAACTTAGTTATCTGCTCTCTCTTGTGCTATTCCCCACACCAAATCATAACCAGCTGCACAATCTTCTGCTGTTTCCCCC